ACTAGTAGTATTGAAGATGTGTTGGCTCTTTTTACTAAATACTTCTTTTATTACCCTTTATGTCGCACTATTCAAGTTCGGGGTGTCCCTTCGCATAAGACGAGCGCTGCCTTGATTGCTCTTCTAAGGTGTGTCCAGTTCATTGCAATAGATCAACCACAATAGATAATCCACAATAGATGAACCGCAATAGTTGAACCGTAATGAACCACGATAGATAAACCACAACATTCTTGTGTTGATAAGAGAATAATTAGAATCTTTTCGATATATGTTGTTGCATGATTCTCTCTTGAACAAGTAAATACGTTGATTGAATTATGTTGCAGATGCGGGACATTACTGAAGATCGCTTTGACTTTCTAAGTAGGAGGATCACCACTGATCGATATACATGCACCCAGGTGAGTCATACCACCAACCCTAGTAAACATGGTTTTTTTTTTCTCCATTGGTAGGAAAACCTCTCAAGGTAATCGAAGTCGGAGTTTGTAAGAATGGTTTGGCACGATGCGAGAGATGAATCTCCAGCAATTGACCATTCTGCCCCTTCCAAGGGCATATTTACTCTGCTAAATGGGTAGCTCGCATCGATGGGAGAGCTGGCCTCAGATACCACACTGTTTATGTGAGCTAGATTCTGTTGACAAAATACTCATAAATGCTTTGCGTGTCAAATGCTGGGAGCTTCTAGTGGGAGGGAGCATCGTACAAAGATTTGTATACTCGGATCTTTTCACTCGTGTGTGAGTGTGTGGTATTATCAGTAAGCATTTTCCGTTTTGAGGAGTGTGAGTCATGCATATCACACTTACTGTAGCTATAAGAGCTTCAAGTGCGAGTCATGCATGTCACAGTTAACTGTTGCTGTAGGAGCTTCAATTGCCTCTTGTTCATCTATGCATGCCCGCATGTTTCTCGTGTTTACTTCCTCATTCTCTCTTACGCCCCCCTGCGATCGTCCAAGTGCAGCTTCACGAGTACGTAATCGTGCTGTCATGTATTTTTTTCGCTTTTATTATGCGCGATTTACTGCATGGTTTTGGGATGCAACATAGTTCGGCCCCACCATAAATCCTATTGTATTGCACTATCATCTTAGTAAACCCCTTTCCTATTCACGTTTTATCCCCTTTACAGCCCAACTGCAGTAAGCCCTGGCTCAACACTCTTAAAAAGATTGTCACGCATCTGGCGATTGTCGCAAGCTGTCGCCGCAACAGCGCTCAAAGAAGCGATATGTTTATTAAACCCTCTTGTTTTGCTTCAGTTTTCCATGAGTCTCGGGGTAATATGCCGTCAACGAGCCGCATGCAATGGATCGATGCAGAAGGTGACATGGGCAACCTTTGGGGTCTTGTGTGTATGTAACACATGCTCGAAGGCCGTGGAGTTTTGATCTACCAAGCGGGGTAAAGTCATAAGGAAGCCCAACAAACAGGGTCCTGAGACTAGTTTTTTACTACCGCATTTTTAATCGCTTTCCTTATGGCGGGACTCGGCTTCCAGCAGCAGAGGTTATCCCTAAACCCTAAACCAGCAACAGCAACAGCAGCAGCAACAGCAGCAGCAGCAGCAACAGCAGCAGCAGCAGCAGCAGCAGCAGCAGCAGCAGCAGCAGCAGCAGCAGCAGCAGCAGCAGCAGCAGCAGCAGCAGCAGCAGCAGCAGCAGCAGCAGCAGCAGCAGCAGCAGCAGCAGCAGCAGCAGCAGCAGCAGCAGCAGCAGAAGCAGCAGCAGCAGCAGCAGGAGCAGCAGGAGCAGCGGGAGCAACAGCAACAGCAACAGCAGCAACAGCAGCAACAACAACAGCAACAGCAACAACAGCAGCAACAACAACAGCAACAACAACAGCAGCAACAACAACAACAGCAGCAGAAACAACAAGAGCAGCAGCAGAAACAACAAGAGCAGCAGCAGCTACAACAGCACCAAGAACACCAACCACGAAACCAATAACAAGAAAAACCCTAAACAACGGCAACAATATGTTTCGGGGGTTTAGGGTTGGGGGCGAACACTATGTTATTTCCATGGTCACTTTTTTCTTTGCCTAGTCACGATGCTTTTGAATAACACGATGCTTTTACCTAATCACGGTGCCATTGCCTAGTCATGATGTTTCCGCCTAAAAACGATGTTTTGCCCAGGCACGATGTTTTTCCCTAGACAAAAGGTTTATGCATTGACACGAACCTTTTGCCTAGACACTGTGGTTTCGCTTGGACACGATGTTTTGGATAGTGGTGCATGGGCGACCAATGCACGGTTTGGGGCAGTAGTGTTGTGGCCTCATATTGTGCTCGCTAGGAATTTCGGCTTTAGGGGAAAACGGTATAGTACGTGTTCGCTAAGGACGGGTCACAATTGAAACACCGGATGAGGACAGGGACCACACACTGAAATAATGAGCATCGATCGCCACAGCCAGGTTTCAACCTGCGCAGGACACGATCGCCCTGGAGGATCCATTTTTGCGGATTTTCCAACGTTCCTGAGCTAAGTGACAGCTTGAATAGGGATTTCAGTGTGGTGGCGGGTCGGTATTTGACGATATTAATGTGACGTGAGTTTACGCAAGCCCTTACGAAAAAAGGATACCCTAAACCTGTAATCACGAATTTGTGAAGGTACTGTACACTCCACATCGATCCCTGCAGGATCGATGTTTCATTTGTGACGCGTAAATCAGACCGTAGAAATGTCAAGGGAGCGCCGGCATAGAAAGCTAAAGCGAAAGCCCGGGACGCGTGGCCTCGCAACATTGCTCGTCTAAATGGCTCTCCGACGAATAGCCCTAGGCGATGTTTTTTTTTTTGTATTGAAATGGTTGGCCCCAAAAAATGCGACACGCCCTAGGGGTGATCCGGCAAAGTTCAGGCCGTTGGGGCGCGGGTTGGCAGCGACACACGTTTGCATAACACGCGATTCCTCAACTCTAAGGGTTGTCGTCCAACCCATTGTCTGAAAATGCAACGAACGGGAACAATACAAGTTTATGCACATAAGGACAAACGACCACCATCTATTCCACGAATAAGGGTGACGGGTGTCCGCGTCCGCCCTAGCGAGATGGACCTCGATAACGGTAAACTCATGCTTTGGCCGGCGATAGCCAGAAGAGAATAAAGGTTCCCTACACATGCCGCATAAGCATACCCCAGCCGACAGTAAACCTGTTTAGATAGAGGAGACACTTGATTGCGATGCACGGCCACAACGTCCATTCCTCGACACGGCCTGGATTTAGCAACGGCGGCCAGTTCCGCCAAGGCATGCAACGGACGCATTTCAGGGGCCCCATCCATATCTACAGCGTCAAGATACGCGCTCACGTGTGTCACCCGCCGTCCACGTTACTGCTGCAATGCCGACGGCGCCACCGCGCTTTGCGCAGGCGGGTGGCGCACGCACTTCTCCAGGTCACCCTGCCACCACTCACGCGCCCAACCCAAGGCATGCCCGCCCGCCGTCAACGGCATCGATGCACAGGCGGCCCGCGTATGGCGCCGACACACCGCCTTCAACGGGCGGTGCAGGAAACTAGAATCTGGACGTGCTGATCGACCAGGCCAGACTAGATATATACGGCAGTATGTTGCCTAACAACACGCTATTGGAGTACCGCAACCAGGCACTTGAGTACAAACAGTTCGTCGTGTACATCCTGAAGGAGTTCCAACAACCACTCCCGGGTGCGGATGCTTCCACGGTTCGTGCTGCACGGGCCTCGTGTCACCGAACGAGGTTGGCTTCAGCTGCACCGCGATATGGGCTTAAACTGGATGAATGTGCGTAAAAAGTACTTCAGGCAGCACGGGCCTCGAGTCACACCCTCCCGCGTGTTTCATTGGCCCAGGCACTGCTATTACGAAACCGAGGAGGAGGCATGCGAACTAGGCTTGACACGCGGGCACGCTTCCAAGCCGCGTCCTCCATGCACGGTGCACATGTTGAAGCAACGACTGAAGGCGATCCGAGTCATTGCCTCGGTAGAAGCCGTCCTCTATCAGCCCGCGGTGATCCTGACTCACATCGATGCGTGTAGGGCGTCCGTTTTGGCCAAAAGGAGGCAGCACATGCAGGCGGAGGCAGGGTATGTTCACATTTCAGTTACGCTGCATTCGTGCACTCCTGGCCATGCCCCTCGCGTTTAGAGCCGATGCGTCGACACCACAAGCATCCGTCGAAAACCTCCACACACGTAGAGGCGCCAACCCCATCATTCTCTCCCTCACCCCATCAATCTCGACTGAGGCATGGCCAGTCCAAGATCCTTGAGCGCACGCACTCGACGGAGGAGGCAGGGTGCTGCTGTGCGACGACGTTACCCACCACTAGTCCGAGACGCGTGGCCTCGCAACATCGGCCCGAACTGCCGGGGTTCGAAAAGATGATGCCGGCACCGCCGGTGCTCTCCCGCCCACGACGCACCAAAGGCAGAACGTCAATCAACGTGGACATGCACCGTCGACACTCGGCGGACACACAGTCGCACCCGGCAGCGGCTTCTGGCCATCGACGATTTCACCAAGTTGCTTTCCGCCTGTTCGACCGCCAGCATGGCGAAATGCGGCCGATGTGGACGTTTGGCCTACCAGCAGCATGTATACACCGCATCTCCTCCACTTGACGGCGATGCACGGCCACAACGTCCGTTTCTCGACACGGCCTGGGTTTAGCAACGGCGGCCAGTTCCGCCAAGGCACGCAGCGGACGCATTTCAGGGGCCCCATCCATATCTACAGCGTCAAGATACGCGCTCACGTGTGTCACCCGCCGTCCACGTTACTGCTGCAACGCCGACGGCGCCACTGCGCTTTGCGCAGGCGGGTGGAGCACGCACTTCTCCAGGTCACCCTAAGACCACTCACGCGCCCAACCCAAGGTATGCCCGCCCGCCGTCAACGGCATCGATGCACAGGCGGCCCGCGTACGGCGCTGACACACCGCCTTAAATGGGCGGTGCAGGAAACTAGAATCTGGACGTGCTGATCGACCAGGCCAGACTAGATATATACGGCAGTATGTCACCTAACAACACGCTGCCGAAGTACCGCAGCCAGGCACTTGAGTACAAACAGTTCGTCGTGTACATCCTAAAAGGGTTCCAACAACCACTCCCGGGTGCGGATGCTTCCGCGGTTCGTGCTGCTGTGTCACCGGACGAGGTCGGCTTCAGCTGCGCCGTGATATGGGCTTAAACTGTATGAAAGTGCGTAAAAGGTAATTCTGGCAGCACGGGCCTCGAGTCACACCCTCCCGCGTGTTTCATTGGCTCAACCGCTGCTACTACGAAACCAAGGAGGAGGCACGCGAACTGGGCTTGACACGCGGGCACGCTTCCAAGCCGCGTCCTCCATGCACGGTGCACATGTTGAAGCAACGACTGAAGGCGATCCGGGCCATTGCCCCGGTAGAAGCCGTCCTCTACCAGGAGTCGCCCGCGGAGATACTGACTCACATCGACGTGTATAGGACGTTCGTTTTGGCCAAAAGGAGGCAGCACATGCAGGCGAAGGCAGGGTATGTTCACCTTTCAATTACGTTGCGTTCGTGCATTCCTGGCCATGCCCCTCGCGTTTAGAGCCGGTGTGTCGACATCACAAGCATCCGTCGAAAACCCCCACACGTGAAGAGGCGCCAACCCCATCATTCTCTCCCTCCCCCCCCCTTCCCCATTCCCTCTTTGCACACGTCCCCCCAACTTCGGGGTGCAGGCCTTGTATGGACCGTCACCAGGGGACTGTCGTGGACACGTACACGTCGTAGGAGTGGGAGCGGATGATGCGAGTCTCGGGGTAATATGCTGTAAACGAGCCGCATGCAAGGGATCGATGCAGCTGCGCTCATGAAAGGTGACATGGGCAACCTTTGGGGTCTTGTGGGTAGGTAACACATGCTCAAAGGCCGTTGAGTTTTGGTCTACCAAGCGGGGTAAAGTCACAAGGAAGCCCAACAAACAGGGTCCTAAGACTAGTTTTTTACTGCCCCATTTTTAGGCGCTTTCGTTATGGCGGGACTTGGCTTTTAGCAGATGTTAGAGGTTAGCCGGACCCTAGGATTCAAATCTATTGCGAAAGAGACTCTCTATCGTTACATGTGGCGTCCATTTGGGCTGTAAGAAGCCGTCATAGTACCTTAGAAGGATTGCATGGCAAGAGCCAGACGGGGACATGCAATTGCGATATAGAAACGAGACAAAGTTGAGTACATATGCGTGGATGGTCGGTGGTTACAAGGTAGAGAGGGGCAATGGGGCACCGTTACGTTCATGGACCTGCGGTCACGGAAGATGCTGTTGACTGTCACGGTTTCAAAAACTAAGGCAGGGGTGTCGTCTACTAAGTTAGAGGAGATAGGATTTCGATCCGGCGTGCAAAAAATGACCAACTAGGGGTTCAAATTTACAGCCGTCATTTCGGACGATGGTGGGTCATTCAAGGAAATGTTAAAGAGTTTAGGTCTGAACCATCTGATGGACATTTGACATAAATGTTGTAAGGTTGTTTGTCAAGAATTTTGTGGCACAGCACAGTCTGATGAATGGATTCGTGGGAGAGGTTGGCTACGAGCGAGAGGGATCTTGGACGGGTCTGCGAAGTTCTGGGGCGATTAAGTTTGATGAAACGGCCAAGACACCGCCCAAGTGGGCTTTCATGGAAATGCGGAAGGTCCTAACAATTATGACGAAAGGAACACAATGTCCGCCCAAGCGAGGGTCTTGGCCACGAAGGGGGGGTCGGAGCGGAGATCGAACCAACAGAGGGAGGGGAGAGGAGAGAGGGTGGAGGCGCGTAAAAAAAGAGGGGTATGGAGAGGGGCGCGGAGACAGAAGCCATACGACAATATGAGTTAAGGGGGAACGCGATTGAGGGACGTGATCATAGACGACAACAGAGAAAGGGCTAAAAAACGGCCACGGGGGGATGGTATGTGCGACAAAGGGGAAACAAGGAGGGGAGTGGAGCAGGTGTTGGTGGTTCAGCGTCTATGCATCCACTTTCATCATGTCATGCTGCGTGTTGCAACTAAGGCTGAAGCAGGCCATCCATTGTCGCAACGTGAGGTTGCCGATAAGTTTGCTTTGTATGCGGACCATTGGGCAGGCTTGCACGTGTGTTGTGAGAGGGATGATGAGTGTCTACGCTGTCTCCGGAACGATGGGGCGAGGAAAGTGTTTTGTATAAGCCATGTTCAGAGACGCATGTAGCCTTTAAAGAGTGGTTTTTGAAGAACTATGGCCATGATCAAATGGCAACATATGTACTAGGGGCTAGCAACTGGGTCAATGAATGGTTTCATTCATTAATCACGGAGTATGCACCGAAGCGAATAGCACCTATTGAGTATAGAGCCACTAGTGTCATTGACTGTGCTTCATTGGAACCACACAGTGGATCAGATTGTGAAGAAGTGGCGCATTCGTGTTCGCAAGCCAACACGAGTGGGACGGGGGAGAAAGGACAGGGTACTTGAAGCAATGGATTGGAGTTTGGTGTATGCGGTGATGGGTCGATGGTGTAAAACACGAGAGGGGGATGGAGGAGTTGAAGGAGCTTGTGGCGATGAGGAAGTAGAAGAGGAATTGAACGTGGAGGAAGTAGAGGAGGTGGTGGAGGAGGACGAGGAGGTGGTGGAGGAGGAAGAGGACGTGGTGGAGGAGGAAGAAGAGGTGGTGGAGGAGGAAGAGGATGGGGTGGAGGAAGTAGAGGTGGTGGAGGAGGAAGACGAGGTGGTGGAGGAGGAATTTGATGGGGTGTCGATTTGGGTGGTAAGGGAGGAGGTAGAGGAGGAGGATGAGGGGTTGGGAGCGGCAGTGGAGGGTGGGAGGGAGGAGGGACATCACGGATTATTTGAGTGTTTGCAATATGAGCAAACCTGCAAGTGTGGGAGTGCTAGGTGTAGAGGTGGAGTTATTGGGAAGGAAGAGGGCCAATGGTGCACGTTTCACATGTATTGTGTCTATTTTGGACAGGGTTGTGAGAGAGGGAGACATCATATTTAGGGCCCGTGCTAGGATTTGTGGCACCCTGAGGCCTTAGGGCACCTTTCTAAAATCCTAAAAAATGCCCTGATTTGTCAAGGCAAATTGTGACAAGACTCTGAAAGGAGTCTGCAATGCAGTCGTCATATTGTTCATCATCAATTTACATGGCACAGTATATATATGTAACAATGGTACGCAAAGCTACCGTACGTGATTAAGCTAATAGCATCGATGCGTATTAGGGGTGGGAGGGCGGGAACTCAAATTGAGATGAGTGAAATGAGACTAGGTGGCAGGTCTGTGGACCTGCCGAAGGATAAGATGGGAATGCCTCCTTATTGCATTCCCCTTTTTCCGGATCTTGTCACAATCATTAAATTTAGAAATATATTTCTAAATTATTCATATTGTGACAAGACTCTGAAGGAGTCTGCAATGCAGTCGTCATAGGAGAACGAAACATTATGGTAAGGGGCGGTGACGGACGCAGCCGACAGTAGACGCATAACGTGCTGTAGGGCTTTGTCGAGTAGGGTCTTGCATGAGTCGGGATGCGCGAATCAACTCGGAGTCGAGCTGGGTGATGTACATCTCCTTTGCACCATCGCTGCGCCACCGCCCGAGAGATTTGAAAAGGCGATCGGGAACCCCAGCGTCAACAGCGAGTGTGGCCGTTGTCTTCCGAAATGAGTGTGTCCCAAGGGTGGAGGGATCCAGACCGACGCGAGCGAAGGCCTCGCGACACCAATTCCGCACAGTGGTGTAGGAGGGAGGGACATCCGACGGCAGCGCGCCCGAACCAGGTCGAAAGACGCGAATGAGAGAGCCGATGGAAGCGCGAGAGAATCCCGCCAGAAAGAGAAATTCCTTAACGCGAGCAACGGGGCAGTGACGAGCGTTCGACGTAGCCACTGGAACCCATGCGCCGGCTCCCCTTTGATCGGTCTTAGAACGGGGGATGAACAGCCACATGCAGTCAGAGTCGAACTCGATTTGGTGCCATTGAAGGGCGACGAGGTCGGAGAAGCGCAGAAAGGCCGAAAACATGAGGAGAGGAATGAGCCCTTTTTGGAAGATGGCGGGGTCTCGAGAGGAAAAATAAGCATCGCACATGTCGTATATCTTGGAGGGGGGCACAGGATCCTTTGCCTGGTGGGGACGGGCGCAAGTGCGCTGGGCGTAGTCCTTAACCTGTGACGAGAGTGGGCCCTTGATAGGGGATGGGGCACCTAAGAGCCAGTGAGCGCACGAGATGGCTGAACAGATAGAACGAACAGCTGACAGCGTCGCTCCCGACCGAATAGAGTATAAAAGGAAGAGGGCCGTGGTGAGATCATTGGCGGGAAGTGGCTGGAGCGAGTTTTTGGCGCAGAAGGTGCGGTACTGCCGCCAGTATGGCTCGTACGTGCGAATAGTGGATTGAGCACGGAGGTCCACAGTGAGCGTGAGGAGGTCCAAAAGGAGTCGACAAATATTGGATTCTGCCACACGTGAAGATATTCATTCAAGAGAAAAATCCATGCGAAGAACAATGAGTGGCGAGTTAGGCAACCCCGATCCACCGAACGCATGCACATCACTACCGAGTGCAAGGCAATAAGTGCCTAGGGGAAGTGCAATGTGATCTAATATGAAAGAGGCACATGAAGTACCGCACGGGTATAGAATAGGCCACCAGAAGGCGCTTGGCCAGCGGGGGACAAGGAGTGTTAGCCTAGCACGCGAACGTCGTGCGTGTGAGATGACCGCCGGAATCAGTGAAGGTGGGGGAAACGCGTACGCGTTCTCCTCGTGCCAACTGATAGAAAAGGCATCGTGCGCCACGGCCCGGGGGTGGAAGGCGGGCGTACAAAAACGGGGCACTGGGTGATTGGTGGATGTCGCGAACAGGTCGATTGTGTGGGGACCCCATCGTCGATCGACAAGTCGAAACCAAGGGGGAAGAAGCGAGTAATCGTCGTAGTGGATGACCTTGGATAAGTCATCGGCCTCTGTATTGAGCTCACGCGGAATCCATTGAGCCGTCAGGCGGATGCGATAGCTTACGCAGAGCTGAATGATGGCACGACAGACAAGGGTTATCTCGGGGCGTCGAGAGCCCCCTTTTCGCATAATATAATAGGCAGCTTGGCTGTCGCTGCGCAGTAAGACGTGCTTGTCTCGGATGCATGGCGCAAAGGAGGTGAGTGCCCAAAGAATGCCCGTCATTTCGCGCAGTGTGCTAGAGGTAGCGGACAGGGCGTGTGGCATCGGAGCAGAAAGCGGTTGCACACAAGTTCTGAGATCGGAAAGCACGGCTCCCCAAGAGATGTCGCTAGCGTCGACATAGATGACCGCCTCGTAAGTGTGGGGGTTATGAAAACGAGAGCCATTGAACTCGTCAAATCGCGCCATCCAGAATCGAAGCTCATCCACCGAGCTATCGGAGAGGAGAATTCTGTAACTCCAAGACGGACATTCTGCTATTTGCGTGAGCAGATTATGGGAGAACGCGCGGGCCACGGTGCCGAGCGCGAGCGACATGGATGCCAGCATTCCTCTGATGCGCGCGAGGCAGCGAACCGGGACGAGGCGGCCGCTGCTGCCCTCTGAACACGTCATGCGCATTTCCTCCAGAAGCCGTGCGCGTCGTGTCGAGTCCACGGAAAACGACAGCTCATTGGTGTCCAGGAGCAGGCCGAGGAATTTGAGGCGTTGTACTGGTTTGAGCTGATACTTTTTTGTATTGACAATAAATCCAGCATGTCGGAGATCTTGTAGAATGGTTTCCCGAGATTGCAGTGCACTAGTAAGGGTCTCACTGATAACGAGGATGTCATCCACGTAAGGAACTACACGAATTCCTCGGCTTCGCCACCGTTTGGCAAGCTGCTTGATGAGCTGAGTGAACACGAAGGGTGCGGTCGCGAGTCCAAACGGGAGAGAGAGAAACTGATATTCCACGCCTTGGAAAGAAAATCCGAGAAAGCGCCAAAAGCTAGGATGAATGTCGACATGATGGTATCCCGATTTGAGGTCGATTGTGAACAACCAGTCATCCTGCTGAACGAGGTCGGGGATACGATTAAGTCCCTCGTATCGAAATTTAGATGTACGTAGAAAACTGTTCACGTGCCTCAGGTCAAGGATGAGCCGCTTCTTGGTCGGTTGTACAACCACATTCAGAGGACTAGAGCATGTATTTACTGTCCGGGACGAGATAACGCGTGCTGCTCCAGTGGCTACGAGCTCGGGAAAGCGATATGCTGGGCTACGCCAGGGTGGTTGGGTGCGCGCCGGGGTGTGGGCTCGTTGTTCGCCCATGGAAACTGGTAACCGCGCGAGATTATGCCACGCTCGCCTTCCTCCTCGTCCACGACCGCTTCGGGAGCCTCGACGTGGCGTGTTGCTGGGCGATGGTTCTCAGGATGAGCCGGCCTCCCGTTGGCGTGGTTGCGCTGGAGCGTCGCCAAAAGCTCGGTCATTTGGTGAAGCGCGTCGACGTTGTGCGCCGGGATGCTAACATTACGACGCTCCATACGGTCGCTTCGAGAAGGTGTAGCCCGATTATTCGCTGCCGACGGAGAAGCGGGGCGTTCCATAACGGGTCTTGCAGGGGCGCCAGAAAGTTGCGCCAGAATCTGAAGCAGATTTGCTTGTGCAGTGTTGTCCAGATTCTCGAGAATCGCGGCGAAATCCGGACAAGCAGCTGCACGCGCGGTCCTGATTTCGTCCAGATTCTGCTGCGGCGGGGGCCGCGAATTTCTCCCAGGCGAAAGATTCGCCACGCGCACTGCAGACGCTGGCGCGCGATCTCCCTGCCCCTCGGGCGCGTGCCTTTCCTGACCTGACGCACGCGCCTGAGGGGCCTGAGGGGCCCGAGGGGCCTGAGGGGCCTGAGGTGCCGAAGCCGCCCCGGCCATAGTGCCGGCCTCCGGATTTCCGAATCCGGGAGGCCCCTTGAGGATGACGCGACCGCCAGGGGCGTCATCATTACGCCCCTGGCGGTTTTCGGTTCCTGCAGCAGCAATCACGCCGGCAGGGCGGGATCTCGTTCGAGGCCCGTCCTGATTGCGTTCGTCGGGGCGACTGTTACGAACACCCGTCGCGGCGATTGGAGCTCGATGGTCGTCGTCATTCCGGTTGGTTCCGCGAGCTGCGGCGCCAATTAAATCAAGTGCAGTAACAGCCGCGCGATGCTCATTCCGGGGCGAACGAGACCGCTCCCTTCCAGAAGTTGAAGTTCTGTCGTCGTCTCGCCGAGGCGATCCACGCCTGGACGAACTTCTGGTGTTAATGCGAGCAGGAGGAGGCCGTTCGTTAACGGCAGAAACAAATCCGCTCGCCATATCACTAATTCTAGCCGCAAAAACGTCTTGAAGGAGGGTTGAGGGTTGATGAGATCCAGACTGAACCATATGAAAGAGATTGTGCCAACTCAAATTGAGATGAGTGAAATGAGACTAGGTGGCAGGTCTGTGGACCTGCCGAAGGATAAGATGGGAATGCCTCCTTACTGCATTCCCCTTTTTCCGAATCCTGTCACAATCATTAAATTTAGAAATATATTTCTAAATTATTCATATTTTCAAAACTATCCTGTATGTTCAGGGCGTCTGCAGAAATCAATCCTGACCTGTCAGGGCAAAAAAACCAGTGTTCTGGGTTGAGAATTCAACACACACCAGAACAAACTCTGTTGGTGCCGTTCGTACTAGCACCGGCGGATGTGACTACGGGAGTTTGAGATGAACCAGCTGCAGGTGAACCTGTTAGTAAAGTGGACCCTGTTCCCAGTCTTATGGCGAGGGGATCGGAACAGAACTATCAAAGGAATCGTGTGAAGCGAAGGCGGGAAACATACACGCGCGTTCCCCGGGAACGGGAACAACCACCCGTCCCCCCCCCCCCCCCCCCCCTTCAAAAAACGCGTCAGGGCAGGCCTCGACATTCATCCTGACGCTACAGGGAAGAACACTACGGCCATCCTGAATGTTCAGGGCATTTCATATGAAACATCCTGAGAGCTCGGGGTTAAA